CCCCCCCCCCCCCCCTCCCCCTCCTAATCCCTCTCTCGCCTTGTTGTCGTACGGATCGCCATCAATGGCCGTCACAGCCGCAAACGCCTCCGGCGCCATCCAATGCGGCGTGCCTAACGACATGACGTGGACGTGTCGTGGACGCGGCATGCCTTCTCGGGTGCGTCTCCGTGCGGCGTGCAACGTGCCGATCATCGTGCCGCGCTTCGCCATGGTGCTGTACACCTACGTGGGTTTTTTTCCGCCAGCGTCAGGGCGGGGATGCGGTACTGTGCAGAGTACTCAGAGCACCGCGTGAATACGCCCGGCTGCGGTGGATACCGCGGAAACCGCGAAATACGGTCGAGTCCAGTTGAGTACGTGCCCTTTGCGTCTCCCGCTTGTAGGGCTGAACACACCTGCGCCGCCACGCCGAGGTCGCCGAGCTTGACCGCACCTAAAAGGCCCAGCCACACACACGTGAGTCGCCTCGCTGATCTCTGGAGGAGAGCGTCCACACGAGTGCGCTCCTGTTCACAGCTGCAGGTGTGAAGAGACGCTGTTCACAGCTCACCTAATTAAGAGATAATTAATAGTTAATTAATAGTTAATTAAGAGCGTCCACACGAGTTCGCTCGGGCGGCGCCCGAGGCGGTCAGGAGCACGTTGGCCGCCTTGACGTCGCGGTGGAGCGCGCGCAACTCGACGTGGAGGTAGCGCAGCGCGGTCAGCACCTGCGGCGGCGGGAGGCTTGGAGCGGGAGGGGCGGGAGAGCTGCACGCACGTGGCGGGGGAGCCTCGCGGAGCACCAACGCCGCCTCCGCCTCGCTGAGGGGCGCGCCCTGCCGCTCCATGACGTCGAGCGCAGAGCCTACGTCGCGGACGCACCGAAGTCAGGGCGGGAAGACGGTCTCGTGCGGAGTATTCAGAGCACCGCGTCAGTACGAGGGGCTACGAATACGGTGAATACAGCGGAGGACGGCCGAATACGGCTGAGTACGTGTCCTCTCGAGCGCGCGCGGGTTGGAGTGCAAGAATGCGCAGCCTCTAGGGCGCAGAGCCGAGCGCGCAATACTCGAGGACGATCCAGAGGAGCTCCTCGCCGTCGTGTAGCCGCGTGAAGTAGTCGTAGTAGCCGACGATGTTTGGGTGGCGCGCCTGCTCGAAAGGCGAGGGGATGCGGATGAAAGGGAGGGGGGGGGGGACGAAAACGGCCCTCCCTTCCCTCAAGGAAGATGTCTCCTACTGGAACAAGGCTACCCATTTAAAGCAGGAACCCGTCTTTTCGACCGAAGGGTTGGGCAAAAGTCCAAAAAAGGTTCCCCCCCCGTAATTCTTTAAAAGGGGGG